TTCTAGCAACGTTCCTCGTATACCCCTAGCCAGAAACCTTTACCATAGTGGTCTACTATCTACCAATGGAGAAAGGATAGACAGTAAATAAAAAGTGATTCTATTGTGATCACTGACTTCTTCAGTGATTTCAGTTTCCAAAAATCTGCTTGCTCTCTCTCTCCCTCTCTCTCTCTCTCCTCTCTCTCTCTGCCTCTATTTTAACTTACGGTTTACTTTAGCTGTAAGAAGCCTCTTCGAAAATTATTCAACAGTGCTCACTTTTCGCTTATATTGATAAAAATTCTTTTCTTGGTATTTTCAGACTTCCTCAGAAGCGTAGCAGTGGTAAACGGTCGTCGCGCGCCTCATGTTTCTAACAGTGAAAAAATTATGGCAGACCTCTCTATAGATCTTTAGATCCCAATTGTGTAAACTATCACTGATACTCCCTGGTCACTCAGGCAACGAATAGGATTGGAAAGACGGAGCAAAAACGGGAATGTGATTTTTCCGAGGAGCAGATGAATTCATGGGCGGATTCTGTCTACAGTGGCTCATGTTCACTTACATCTCTATTATATGCATAGATATGTTCAATCCTGCGTGCTTTTGTTTCAATGCGTTTATGTGGATTACAGCGTCCCCATTGATTTCACAAAAGACGTAGTGGACTTTAACTAGAAAGTACACAGGAAACGGTGCTTGCCTTTGTTTCCAAATATGCCCTATTGTTTGGATAGTAAATATCGAGTAGGGGCCCACAAAATATTATTGCTATCTTTCTTCATCTCGCATGAAAGGTCCATCCCATGCGTGCAATCTTTGAGTAGCCGTTGAACGCGGAAATTTAGTACAGTAATATTCCTCAAGGAGGTTGTGTAATGAATACATATCAACATGAATTTTCAAGTATTTTTGTATGTCACTTGAAATCCTTCTCTCTACCGACATTTAGGTTTATACTAACTTAAACTACTAGGAGAAAAAGATTTTGGGTCTTTGGGTGCATCAATGCGCTAACTCTTCGATGTTTCCAATAAGTCATTTTGTCCATAAAAGATGATGCTTTCTAAAAAATATTCCAAATTTGTAGTGAATTCTAGAACAACTTTCATCTACTGGCCATTATTTCCTTCATGGCAGGATGTGATTTAAAATACAACCATTACGATGATGAATTTTTCGCATAACATCGAGCCCAAGCCGGATTGAACTGCGATTACCCTTTCCGGGGCTGACATGTTATGGACAGGACCACTGAGGTTCTCGTTTTGCTTTTCTGTCAGAATTTTATCTTTCAATAGTGGAAAAAACGTAACCTACCTTTTTGGAATGCGCCATAAATTCGGTTCCATTAATCATCTCAGAGGTTATTAAATTCCTACTTAGCCTATGTAATAACTTCCCGCCACTAACGCACACTTCCAATAAAAGTTCTTATGCGATTTTACGCTCCCAGATAAGTCTGATAGCAATCCGCCCATCCCAAATGGGAGGAAGCTCGGTTGGCTCAGGTTGGCAGGTTGAACCAACGACCGGCCTTGTATTGCATGGGATCTCTAACCACTATGTCACACACACCTCTAGTAATTTGCTAAAATTAGCACAAATATTCTCTCCGGGCATTCCAGTACCTCATAGTAGTCGTTTGAATTCTGGATTTACACTCGTTCTTATTTGGTGCCACCCTTATTATGCTGTGCATGGCACCAATGCTTGATGTTAACTCGTTCAACCTCATTGCGTTCGCTATCGTCCATCTATCTTCTACTCTTTAAGTTTGTAGGAATGATGGGGTTACTGTCAACGATTCGCGGAAAACGCGACGCACCGGTGATCGGTTCCACTAATGTCGGTCCTATCGCGAATAGGGACAAAAAGCTGGTGATTCAGGAATGGCCGAGGTAAGGAGGTCAAACTTCATTCTAACTAAATTAGCACTAAGCTGGACTGAATTACGTCCTTTAGTGATTTTGTCGTAGAAAAAAACAAAATACTTTGACATGAAGAAAAATGTCTCGATTGCAGCGGAGTGATGCATTTATTACGCTATTCTAATTAAAGGCCGGGACATTTATTCTGAAGAAACACTTGAAAGAAAAAACACAAAAAGCGGAATAAGATTGTGTAAAATATTTAATGTAATTATCATGACAAATCCGATGTTTTTCTTCAATAAGCGGACTCGAGGTTGTTATTATAGAATTTATTAGGATACAATAGTTGACGCTTCGGCGGTTCTGCCTTCTTCAGAGCCTGGAAGGTCAAATTGAGATGCGATCTACTCAGCCAAACACTTTCATAACCCTAGCAGATAAAACTTGACAAATCGATTTGCATTCGCATAAGAAACAGCTTCATTTAAACACCTACCGTTTATTTGTTGTAAATATTTAAGTTAGTTGATGGATAGTCGCCTCACAGAATTTATTTGTTAAGTTTTATCTGCTGGGGTTAAGAAAGTGTTTGGCTGAGTAGATCGCATCTCAATTTGCCCTTTCCAGGCACTGAAGAAGGCAGAACCGCCGAAGCGTCAGCTATTGTGTCCTAATAAATTTTATAATAACAACTTCGTGTCTGCTTATTGAAAAAAAACATCGAATTATCAATCAATGCCGTGGTTAACAGAAGGTCGGTTTTGGGAATATCATGACAAAAATTTACAATGAGACGGATGAAAGCGAAAAGGGGTTTCTTCAGGAAAAGGGGAAAAATCATAAGGAGGGAAAACATTATTTTCTTTAGACCATCATCATCGATATCCTTACCACCTAATCGCTATAGGATACGTAGCATCTGCAAAGTGGTAACATCTACGAAAAAATGCCTTTAGTATTTGTCAAACTATTTATTATTTGATAGTTTATGTGTATTAAAATCTAAAAAATCTTAAAGTTCTAAAAATCTAAAATGTAGAAATCACCATTAGGAGTGGTGTAAAACTTTGTGACATTAAGACATGAGTATTATTGTCGGTTATAAATATATAACTTTTGGGGCGCCTGTGGCGCGGTGATCAGAGGCTCCCTGCAATACACATGGGAGAGACCCCGCGCCCATAGCTCACCAAGCTCTCCCTCACCCGCGGTCGGCAAATTGATACCAGACGTTTCTGGGACGATGACAGCACTGGCTCGATACTTGGTTAGGCCACCCCGAGTCATTGTAAAAGCCAGATATGCATTCAATCGCCTTTAACGATGCTCAATGAAATCGAATGCTTGGCGCATCTCTCAGGGATTGATCAACGCAGAGAGCCTAATCCTTTTTACATATTTTTCTAGTTCCATTGTTCTTGCATTCAAATCTGAAAGGTCGCTTCATGTTCCAAGAAGAAGTAGTAAATTTCGGTAGTGCCAATAACAATTACGGAAACTTTTAAAGCAGTGGAAACTTTTCATTCTTATTTTTCCAGAAAATGAAGAACTTGTTTCATTATCAAATCGGAACTGCTATTGATTGATTAATTTGACCTCGCCTTGATTGGATAATCCAGAAAAGTGCTGGTTGATCTGATTTTTCTTCTTTAATTACTATTAAAAGTGTTGTCGCTTTCTTTGAACTCACTTTGGTAATGGTTGTTAACGATCCTGTCCTGTTGACGGGTGATTGCTGATGGCAAAAGATCGATACAACTAGCTGAGAGGCAGGCGAAACGAATGACCCGCATAGTGTGGTGGTGAACGCGTTATTCCTCAGAAAAGACAATAGCTCGTTCATTCCCCACCGCAGACACCTGCGGTCCGGAGTTTTGCAAATATCTCAGCATTACATTAGTTATATTTCGGAAAATACCCCGCCGTTAAAAAGAAAAGGCAGTAAGTAGAAAGGTTAAGTTTGCAATTTGATACTTACTTGATACTTAATACTTGAACGGCCCGTCCTCACTAGTTGTGCCGGCCCCAGCATAAACACCATTTTTCAGAGATTTGCTAGTTAAGCCATTGTGGTTCCCTGGAATTCTGAGGACAGCTTGGCCAAAGTCTGCTCCAGGTCGTCACCATGAGGGGCGGTCGCAGCCCTTGTGGATCAGAGAGAGATTTGCCACCATGCGACTTTGATACTAGGAAGGTGGTGGATCCTGGTATTGGTTTACTCTTAGCAAAGATTCCTGATGGAAACGCCAGACCCTGCCCCATCTTGGGAGACTCTGCTAGGGGGCGAGTCCCATCGCTCTACATCGCAGTCCGACACTCAACAATAATTTGATATTAGTGCTAATAGAATTGATAATTAAGCAGCTGATACTACTGATGAAAACTAAGGAGGCATTAACAAAGACTCGTTTTTAGGTTGTTGGAGCAGCAACCGCATCTCTTCCAAATTGTCTGGAATGCCTCATCTACTCGAAGCAACTCCATAAAGGTGCTGTATGAACTATAGCGGTCCAAAAACAAGTAATGGAAATGACTCGTAATCTAAGTACTCTTGTGGTAATTTAAAAATCACCTTTCATTTAGCTTCCATTTGAGTAATTAGTACTTTCATGCATTACTAAGCTAATAAGAGGTTGCTATAAAAGTTGTAAAACCCACTGTCTTCTTGGATTATTAGACTGACAAAAATTTGATAAAAGGTTTTATTCGGCTAACATTTCTATGTCTTCATTTTCTTCACAGTCGAAGACGAAGATATCGAAACGTTGGCTGAATAAACCTTTTTGTCAACTTCGTGTTAAAATGTTAACTTTTTAATTTACTACTCATTTCAATTTTCTACAGCAGGGTATATTATATGTGATACAACCACAATGATGCTGGGATATTTGCAAAACTCCAGACCGCAGGTGTCTGCGATGGGGAACGGATGCGCTATTGTCCTTTCCGAGGAATAACGCGTTCACCATCACACCTTGCGGGTCCTTCGTGTTAGTTTAATAATCCACGAAGGTATTGATTATTAATGCCGAGGTGCAATGGGTGTCGGAATGAGAAATATTGATTAGTTATAAAAGTACTATGAAGTGAGAATACCTCATTCGAGTGGCCCCCACTCCAGAAGGCTTGACTCTACGCGACTGCGAAGTGCTCATCACAAGAAGAAACTGCTGTGGACAATTGACTGGGGTCATCGCTACTCTGGAAAGAAGCGAGGAAGCTGAAACCTTAACCTGAGTGAAATTTTTATAATAACATCGTTTTAGCCTTTTAATTCAAGGAAATATTGGCTACGCTAATGACAGATTGTCATAATAGTTTTATGCAGCCAATGCTAAGCAATGAAGTGAAAAACTATATACAATAAAACAATAAGCTACTTATTGGTCGGTTCAACATTAACCGATGAACCGTTTCAGAAGGCGTTCGGTATCGGAGATGACGAAAGTCCGCAGGAAAATGCGGTGTTCATGAGACTCTCGGAGACAATCGCAGCGTTCTTCGAAAAAATTGTATGTTTCAAATCCTTTTACTAAGAAATCCTCGCAGCAGTGACACTGAGACGCAGCCGACCACAAGAATTTTCTTGCGGTCTGTCGAACACTATACACACAGGCACGGCTTCGGTGAGCTTTAATGGAGAAATCAAGCAGAGCATTTACCAGATGAATATTTATTATACATTTTAAGCAGTCACATGGTTATAGTTTTGAGTTTAGTTTGCAGATAGTTAACATATAAAGTAATGAAACAAGGATATAATTAAATGGAATAGTTGTCACATTAAAAACACGTCTAGCGCAGTGGCTAGAGGTGCCCTGCAATAAACACGAATTCGATCCCGCATCCTAGGCTCACCTAGCCTTCCACCCCTCCACGGTCTGCTAATTGGTTGATATGTAGTTAGTTGTCCACAGACCTGTTCGGAGGACAGTAGCACTACTGGATACATCGGTTGACCAAAACGAGTGAACGTATAGATCAGATATGCATTCAATCAACTCTAACATCCTTGATGAAGACGATTGCATGGCAGACCCCTCAGGGATTGATCAACGCCAAGAGCCTTATTCCTTTTATACTTGTCATGTAATACCTTGTCGGATTACTAAGATAAGACGAGTTTGGTAAATAGATTTATTCGCCTAACGTTTCGATGTCTTCGTCTTCATCAGAGTCGATGATCCGAGACGATGGCTCACAGTTGTTCGTCTTCTCGATGTAGTGTCTTCCTCGTCATGCCGAGCCGGATAAAACAAATTATTATCAACGGATAGTCGTATGAGCAGCAATCATCTCGTATAAAAGAGCGCTGCCGGGTGCGCTAGCCACATTGGAGTGGTATTCGCCTCAAGAAGAGCTGTCTCGTTAAAACGACGAAGACGCTGCATCGAGAAATGGAACAACAGTGTACGATCGACTCGGATAACCGGGACGAAGACGTTGGAACATTAGTGGAATAAATCTATTTATATCAACCTCTTGTTGGCTTAAAATCCAAAAAGGTATTGAATATTACTACCAAAGCTAAATAACGGTCGGTCTAAAAATTGTTGCCATATTTTAGTCACGTTGGAGAAAGATCTAAGGTTACAATTCGTGGAGGACTCGGACTGGTTTTTTTTTGGGTTGCCACAGTTTTTAAATTTAGGCATATTACTGGTGTTACGTGTTTTATAAAAAAAACCATTTCTTTCTAACGTAGCTAATTGAGGTTATCGGTGCAATCTAAATGCTCCTATGTCGAAATCGCTTAAAAAAATACAGTGACGAACAAGATGGAAGTAAGAGGCAGAATGCTACAATAGAGAGCCAATCAGCAATTTGCCTCAGCCTCGGAAAACGGTGGCTCAAAGTTGCGGCATGTTCATGTACAGAGAGCATAGATCTCAGATTCTATTCCTTCCATTAACACAAAAGCAGACTTTTCTAAATCAGCTGTACCACCTGTAATCCTGTTCATTACTATGTAAGTTGAGAGGTTACAAGTAAACTCTCCGTTTGTCCTAGTACACTCTGTCCAGTCGTCGAAAACAAAATGGGCACCATACTTTCATATGTGGCCCTTTATTTTTAGTGCTGATGGCGACAAGTATTAATAGGTAGCTTGCCACGTTCAGCTGTGATATATATCTACTCTTAGCTAGGCTTATGGATAAAAAGAACTCCACCTCAGCTTTGGTGGATTTGTTGTGGAGATTTAAGTGTTACTAGTACATCGTAACTCAACACTAAAAAGCATGTCTAAGCGACTAGCATTGGAAGGCAGTAGGAATAATCTCTCTGATATCCTAGCCATCCAAACCTTTCCTCAAACCTTAGTTCACTCTTTCAGTGATACTTGAGGGATAAGAGCAACAGTATAACAAAGGCAACTTTTAGAAGACATGAAGTGCGTGAACAAAAAATTCTCGTTCATCATAATAATGTAGCATAAAATTCTCGGTTCAGCAACTGATGTAAGTAAGCGTACACTTGTTCTTCTTAGTGTCCAGATTATCTTCAATTTTGGATTAGGTAAGGATAAGGTGGTTAGCTGGAGGAGAATTATCTATTCGTGAGATTGCCATTAAGGATATTGAATTTAGTGGAAAACTGAGCAAATTTGCATATATGTTGGAGAACAAGCAATTCCAGGTCATTACAATGCAACTCGATGATGACATCGTCCGCTCAACTTGCGAGCAATTGGGGGCTCGGCACGTTGATTTCATCGCACGTGGTTTCAATTCGAATTTTTGGGACATCTTTCTAGTGAGTTCAAGCGAGCAATACTGAGGAAAAAGTTTGCTTTAAAAGTTTCTGTTTTAGCTCATGGCGCTTTTGTTAAGGGATAACCTTCAGGGTTTCTTGACTTCACGTATTCAGGCCTCAATAAAGAGCTCTGGAAGATATTTACTTAAGTATCATATCATTCATGATCTTTTCCTCCAAAATTACAATTTTTTCATGTCAACTTGAAGTTGAAACTAACTAGGCGGACGAACGCACCCTAAACAGTCGTCTGAGGAATAATGGCAAGAATCTTCGTTGGTTGGGGCAGTGCAGGTGTCCCGGCACTTGTTCTTATTGGTCGTACGGTAGGGATATCCGTTTCCGCAGCAGCGCACTATGCCAGGGGAGGAAAAACATCTAAACCGAATGTATTGAGGTGTAATTCATTTCTGACTTTTTTTTTAAAGAGCAAAGATTAGGTTGTTACTATAGCACTTATTAATTCACAATATGCGATCTTGCGGCGGTTTTGCTATTTTAAGGACCTGGAAAGGTCAAATTGACGTGTAATTTATTAAGCCAAACACTTTCATAAGTTCAGCAGACAGAAGTTAACGAGCGAATTTCCGTTAGCGTAATTAACAGCTTTTTAAAACATTTACCATTTTATGAAATAGATAACAATAACAGATATAGATAACGAGGGTAAAAAAATTGCTGAGAGAAAGGCAAAGCGAGGGCTGATTAGTGCAGTGGGTTACGAGTGAGTCCCCAAAAAGCTAACCGCATACTCGAATCGGACTGGGATCTGAGTTTTCCAAATTTTCAGCATTATTGCAGTTGCACTTCACATAATACTCTGCCATGAAAAAGACAGGAAGGAAATAAAAAAGCTATGCGCTGTAATGCTGACGTATTTGCAAAACTAAGTCCAGGCCAGATTTGAATCGGCGACTACGCTTTGTGGGGTCTCATGATTAACATAGCGAAGTCGAAGCATTCAGCATTCATCCCATGAAAAACCAAAAAGAACTGCCTTCTATTTCTTAACGTTCAAATTGATTTGTCTGAAAGCACCTACATCACCAAATTGTACCGAAGGGCAAGTAGTAGAAACATACTGCTTCATCACCTCTCCTCTCACCTACCACACACAAGGCTGCTTGTGGGAAACATGTTTCGAACAGCTACCAGTTTGTGCACAGGAGGAGAGAAGGAAGAAGAATCCTTGAAATCGGCGCCGCAAATAGCAATTTTAAATGTTTACAAAACTGTAGCTTGCCGGTATAGGTGTAAAGGACAAACCTCAGCTCCAAACGATAATTCCAAAGAAGAAATGGGTGAGGCCATAGCTGCTAAAATAGGACCAGTCTATCCTACTCTTCATTTCCAGAGAAATAGGTGCAGCTATAAAACGTTTCTGAAGAAGGACCGTTCTAGAGAATTCGGTGACAGTGATTGAAACACCATTGGACACTGTAAGACGCCACCTTGCGCATAGCCGTTTCCGTTTTCATGACCGCCTGTTCACAAAGCAAAAATGCTCAATATGCCCTAACGGTGGAGACGGTGAGTGCATGAATTCAGGTGCGCTATACCTAGATGTTTGCAAAGCATGCGGAGAAAAATACGTTAGGGAAACGGTAGACCACTCCGCGTCCGTGGAAGAGAATACCCAGTCGATGAATTTGAAGATGAACCAAGTACTCCACTAGGCCCGTACAAGACAGAGACACAGCGGAGCTTTTGAAATGGAAGGCACTATCTTAACAAAGGATCCAAAACCTCAACGCGTTAAACTTTTGAAGCGTCCTGGATAAATTTCAAAGGTCTAAAAATGCACCGCACGGAACAGTGCCTGATCATACGTGACCTGGCGTCATACCTCAGGCTGATTCTTTGACCTCAATCAGAGACATTACTCGCCTATACAAGACTTTGTGCAGCTGGTCCAAAGACGAAAGTGAGTGTTTAAAAGAAGCTGCTTATCATGCGAATATAAGTTCATGTATTAAGTTTTACTGCTGAAGTTATGAACATCTTTGACTAGGCAGATTGCTGGTCAATTTCACTTTTCTAAGCTCTGAGGAAGGCAAAATTGCTGAGACATCTGCTGTTGTGGAGCAACAAGTCCTGTAATAACAGCCTCATGTTCGTTCATCGAGTGAAACAGTGTACTATTGATCAGTGCTGCGGTTGAAAGAAAGTCTGTCCTGGGATTGGCTACACTGAACTGTTTCAGCGGTATACCTATAGCCCATAACAAAATTTTCCCATCATTTCTAGCAAACAGCTGTTTCTCATGGTGTCAACAGAACCTGTATACTGAGCTACGATAGTAAGTACGCTGTGCAAAAAAACACTGGTTGTTATCAACCTCGTGTAATCTTATCAAAGAAAGAATACATATTGATTAGTCATACCGAGGTTAAAGGGAAGTCGGTATTGGATGTTTCGTTGAATTGTAGCTGTTTGTATTCTTTCTTGATAAGCTTGAGCGAGGTTGATAAATATATTTATTTTCGGCTAACGTTTCGACGTCTTCGTCTTCCTCAGAGCCGATGATCCCAGTCGATGGTCCATGATTGTTGTTCGTCTCGACGCTGCAGCTTCGCCTTCGTGTCGAGCCAGGTCTTCCTCAGTGAGCCATCTTCTCGAATGAGGCATCCTCACTCAGTGATACCGTGTATAAAAGGGCATCGTGTATAAAAGGGCATCGTGTATACGTGTAGCTGTTTGTTTGCCTCTGAAATATCGATGGCTGCAATCTTCAGTTGTACGATAAAAAATGTAATAGAAATTTCAATTTCAAGAATGGAATTCTTTTCTGTTCGTTTTCCTTTACAATGTCGACCGTTCTTTCCTGTGTTTGTAGGTGTGCATGGCTGAAACAATCGACGAGACACTGTCGAGCTACATGACAGACGAAGGGAAACGTGCAGAAATGATACTCGCGTGGCAAAGGTGCTATATGTAGTACCTTTTGTAGAAGAAACAATTGTCCTCTACAGTACTTCTTAGCAAAGCACAATACTATTCATTCAGAGTGTTCAACATGGTTGTTCATCACATGCGCACAGGTTACAACGAGCGGCGTAAGGAAAAACTGAAGGGTTGTGTAAAACCGTGATTGTTACTGATGTATTGATAAACATATGATTTAAGCTTTTGTTTTCATTTCATATGATAAAGATCTTTTCATTCTGTTCCATTTGGCGATTGGAATTTGTTCTATTCGATACAGCATGTGTAGAAATTTCCAGAACGGCGTCTTTTGGATGTCGATCTTCCCATAAACTGTCTTATGGTATTTAAAGAATTCATAATCTATACGCTTTACCTTTTTATTTTCTGCCTACTATAATTTCGCGGCAGGGTACTAAGCGAAATACAACCACAACTTTGCTGAGATATTTGCAAAACTCTGAACCGCAGGTGTCTATGGTGGGGAACCAACGCGCTATTGTCCTTTCCGGGGAGCAACGAGTTCACCACCACACCATGCACGTCTTTCGTTTCGCCTGTCTCTCAGCTATTTCTATCGATCTTTGCCACAGCAATCACCCGTCAGCGGGATTGATCTGGGGCGCCCAAATCGGCATAGAACCCAGTTAAGCTGCGGCTGTAGTATTGTCATTATTTAGATGAATGCCTTTATTAGTGATTGTACATGACCATTTTTATTTCATTCGGTCTTCAGTTTCTAGTTGTGGTAGCTTACATTCAAACAATATTCACTCAAAGTGTTGTAGTGAGTTATACGCTAGCCCCCGAAAAAGGTAATCGTGGTTTGATCTGGCCCAGCATCCAAGTTTTGCGGATATCTCAGTATCATTGTAGTACTCACTCATTTTCTTCTCGTTTTTTTTTTGTTCTTCTGTCATACTCTTTTTTCGGTCATTGTTATGCGACATTCTATTTGAACAAAATAATACTGTTTTTACTATTTTCTTCTTTGTATTCAACGGCGGTCATCGAAATGAATGTGAAAATTTCCATGAGGAGTGCTTAGCACTATCTCGGAAACCGGATCTGAATGAAAAGTTAGCTCGTTCTCAGTTGGTGTTGCATGAATGGTAATCACAGAGATCAGAAATCTCGGTGGTTAATGCAGCGTCATCAGCGAACGATGTCTGCGGAATCCAACTAGCATGCTGTCAACGCGATGGCGCGCACATGCAATGCGCCAAGTTGAGCAGTCTACCGAACCCCTCTAACAATGCCTTTCGTTGAGTCCATAATGCGCTTCGAACTTTTGTCGAATATTTATGTACAACAACGTCAAAATCAGACTTTACTCGAAATAATTTGAAAGTAACGTGTTTATTTGTATTCTCCAGTAATTTAAAATATGAATATGTTTCCCAATGTGATTAGAATTTATCCTTCAAATTCCTTCCGTTATCACTTTGACCTTTCGAGACTCTGAAGAAGAGGAATTCCGCTGAAATACTCTCCATCGTGAAAGAAATAGAGCAACAACCTCATGTCTGCTCAACAGGAAAACAGGAAATTCTTAATCAGTGCCGATGTTAATAGAAAGCTGGTCTCGAGGAGAATTACTCTTCTCTAGAATTAAAATTCTGCAGAAACGATTTTTTAGACGAGTTCATTTAGAGGTTAAAAATCATGTTTGTTGAGAGGAGTAATCATCACGAGAACGTCATCAGTATAGAGGGTGCAGGAATGACTCACCTGCTGTTCATGCACGCTAAAGTGCAGCACCTTGAGATAGGTTTTCGTTATGAAAGCATGGCCATTGATCGAGAAGAGTTTTTTACAGTGGCTCGATGTTCACAGAATATAAACTCGTCGATTTACTTCAATACAGTCTCTTTAAGAACAGTTACCAAGTCTTATTACCACACCTTTCTACTGATCTTTTAATCCACTCTGCAACGACGTCGTTTTTCGTGGCTGACCCAGCCGAACATAAGCAATTTTTCGTTGGCTGCTGACTTTCTGGTTTTTTGACAATAGAATATCTTTTCTCAAAAACTCGAGGTCTTATGAAGTTCTGAACATGACAGGATTATAGAAGAGAGTTTCCTCTATCGTTCCATAAGTGTGAGTGATTTCTATGCGACTATTCACTGTGGCTGCCTATGGTCCATATTGAAAATGCATTGCTGTTGGCATTTCGAAGTATTTTGTAGTTTATTTTCAGTCTATTTTGGTATTTTTGTATCCACACATTATTTACAATAGCCATAGCGATTAAAATAAAGTAAACAAAGCAACGATATTGTTTACCAAATTACGATCAATAGAGTTTTGGAAATAAAGTGTTATACATATCATTAAGGATAGATGTTTTTCTGCTCTTATCCTTCTCATTTTGATCTGGCTTCGACTAGCTATCGAGCGAGTGTACATAGAGCGGTAAAAAACTGGCACCCACTATAGTGAATGACGATTCTACACCCTCCATACGGTCATCTGGTCATAAACTCTATGGACAATGTAGTGTCCCTACGGGTGGGATGGGCTAAACGTTGTACTCAGGGACACTTATTTCACAATCTACAACTCACAGTTTATGTATATATATATGCATGTTTATGTGTACGCGTATGCATATGTGTGTGTGTATGTGTATGTGTATACATATATATTTTAATATCAATATTAACGATATATACAAATACAACGTTGCTGAGATATTTGCAAAACTCTAGACCGCAGGTGTCTATGGTGGGGAACGAACGCGCTATTATCCTTTCCGGGGAGTAACGCGTTAACCACCACACCATGCGGGTCCTTTGTTTCGCACGTCTCTCAGCTATTTCTATCGATCTTTTATCTATCGAGATATATACAAATATATATACAAATTGCATGGCCTCCATAGAATTGCCTTCACCTGGTACTGTCAGTTCTTACATGGAATGAAAATTGTTCATAAATACGCCTTACAAATCTCACGTATATGGAATCACTTGCCGACTATTTACACCTTCTTTCAAAGATGTACACGTTTTACGATTAATTTTTCCCGAAAGTAACGTGGAATACACACTGGATTAGTTGCTCCTTCAACCCTGTGCCTCGGACTCACTCTGCCATCCATATATCCGGGGCTGGAATTGGTGACAGAGCTCTTCGAGAAGTTAGAAACACCACACCAACGTCGTATAAGAGTAGGTCCAAAACCAGGTCGAAATGAGCTGCCGTCCCAGGCAAAATTGAGCGTCGTGTGTTACTTGTTATTACTTCCAACATCGAACCATTAAGACGGCTGCTAAATAGTTTTGGCAAAATGGTATTTCTTCTTCGAAACTACTGATTATTCTTACTTGTGAACCATCGATTCCAATCAATTCCGTTCTGAATAATACGAAGACGTTGAACAGTTAGACGAATAAACTTCTAGGATGCATTGTTGCCAAAAATGCAAATCACATTCAGTGGCTGCGGTAGACCAACTTTCGTCCTACGTAAGAAGGCACCTGTACAAGAGTGAGATTATTCATTCGATCGGTTTTCCACTTCACTGAATTCGACCCGATGCGACAACGAGCAACCACATCACGACGACGACCACCTGGGGATCATCAAATCGAATCAGTCCTTTCCAGAAAAAACGAAGACATCTAGGCGTTAATTAAAAAACTTTTTTTAAACAACCTCATGTTTCCGCAATGGTCCAAGAAGGCATTGGCTGTTCATTTTTTAATATTTGACACCGTTACCAAAAACGTGAACACAACACCGATCATTCCTCAACATCTAAGATTGTCGTTTAGACACCCGGTTGTTGTCGATTGGATTCATGCTGTATTCAATACGAGCGATTATTTCCGAAGGTTTAGCAGCTCTTTGGAATGTGTTGCTGTAGAAATCAGAAATGTGGGTAGTAGGACCTGCACAAGAATCCGCAAGCAAGGCAAGCGGTGCAACCCGGGCGTGCAAGGCGAGGGTCGTGAGGAGGCGGGCTAGGATTTGCAAGCTCTGACCATGCGTATTTCCAAGTTAGCTCTGACACCTCACATTCTGAGGGATAGCGACCAACCACTTTTTCACCACTCTCCCTATTGTTTTCAATATTTTAAATGTTGTCATACATTAGCACCTATTTATTTCGCCTTTTCGCTCCATTTTGTTCGGAACTACTCTAAAAACTGTGTTTGTTGTCCTTGATATGACTCCAATACCAACAAGATTCATTGCAGACATCAGACTCTCATAATCATAGTTTTCTTCAACTATTACATCTATTTGCAAAGAATGATCTCTTTTATTTTGTTAAAAATTTTACAACTGTACTCTACGATGAATAGTTTTTACTTGCACGGATACTACTTGATATTTCAGAGCTCACTCTTAACTAATGCATTTAAACACTTATTACAAGAGCTAATTCAAGGTAGGTCCCTACATGCTGTTTGAAATGGTGGTCCGAAAGCAAAAAATAATCAATTTTTTCACTTCATGCGTTCAAAATATCATAGCACAAGCGAAGTCGCCAGGAAATGGGAGCTAGGGAAGCAGTGTCGAAAGGTTTTGAACTGGATGTGGACTTCATGATGCAGAAGGTCGTGGGCAGCTATCAACAGTCGAAGTCGACCATCTGAACGTGACGATCTGACTTTCGTGAGGAAAAAAACCGATCTTTAGCAAGTCAGAAATAGTTCATCATTCGGAAAACCATGGGAAGGTGAAGAAGCTCGGTAAACGGATGTCGATCGAGTCAAGTGATTGAAAGGAGTAGTTATGAACTCTGCACTTCAATGCTACAACAACGATCTATTTTTCGACCGCGTCGTGACATAACATGAGAAGTGGATTCTATATGACACCTGACGAGGTTCAGAGCAATGCATTAGGCCAGACGGAACTCCTAACTTTTCCCAAGTCAAATATGGACAAAGAGAAAGATCGCCATTTGGAATATTCTGCTACAACCATCTGAATAATAGTGCTCAACATTCTCATTTTTTCACGGCAGAGGTTAATGTGAAGTTTAACCACAATGATGCTGAGATATGAGCAGCTAGGAGGCCCAGGGTAAGCTTCGAATCTGCGGTTACCCATGCCGGGGGCTTACGTTTTATCCACTGCACCACCGATCACAACACTTAACTTTTTGTATTCCTTCATTGATAAGCTTACAACAAACCTTGATAGACT